GCGAAAGGTCCACTGATTAATCTCAGATAAGAAAGTATAATACATACTCCAAGTATTGAAATACACGCCATCGTGTTGGGATTCAATATTTCGACATTAATTATGTCATCATCAGTGATGCTATAAAGAGCTTATTGAGAATGGTACTAATCGTTGTGTTGTTAAACTAATTAAATCGTGGTATGAAAACCAAAGGTTTGTGATCCGTTGGGGTAATTCTATCTCTACCTCGTTTAAAGTTTCTAATGGTGTTAGACAGGGCGGGGTTATGTCTCCTCTCCTATACAACATTTATATTGGTAACCTTAATTCCAAGTTAAGCACATTTAATCAGGGTTGTCAATGTGCGAATATTAGATTAAATCATCTTAGTTACGCCGACGATCTTGTTTTGCTTGCTCCTTCGGTTGCAGGACTCCAGCAATTGGTACATGTCTGTGAAAATTTTGCTAGTGAGTATGATGTTTTATTTAATGACAAGAAATCGTTCTGTATGCGATTTTGTCCTCGTACGTGTAAATTGGAAGGTAATTCCGTAACGAAACTTTTTGGTAAAGAACTTTTATATGTTGAGAAAGGCTCTTATCTTGGTCACATTCTTACATGCGATAGTTGTCATGAGGCTGACATTCAAAGACAGTATAGATCTCTGTGTATTAGAAGCAACTCTCTTAATCAATCGTAAATTTATGAAATGCTCGAAAGATGTTAAATGCTGTCTCTTTCGATCATATTGTATCAATTTGAATTGTGCTGCTTTATGGTGTGATTACCGTCAAAAAAACATTAGATCTCTTAATGTATGCTACAACAATACATTGCGTCGAATTTTGAATGTTCCTAGAAACAGCAGTGCTAGCATAATGTTGACCACGGCGTTCCATCTTTTAATGAATATATGCGAAAATCAGTTTATGCAGCGTATGCTGAGTAGTAGCAATGTTCTCGTTGCATGTGTTTGCAAACATATGCTTTTAGATTCTAAAATGTATAAAAGATGGAGTGGCATTTTGTATGCATAAGTATAATATACGCAATACTCATTTTTTTTATATAAATATGTATTTTATATATGTATATATATATATGTAATGTACAGT